AAAGTATAGAACACTGAAGAAGACACAAGATGGAAGACCACCAATGTTCATGGATAGGCAGAATTAAGATTGTTAAAATTGCCATATTACCAAAGCAATATCAGATTCAATGCAATCCCCACCAAAATATCAATGACTTTCTTTATGAAACTAGAAAATAAAGCATTAAAACTCATGGAAGGCAAAAGATTCAGAATAGCCAAAGCAATTCTAAACCAAAAAAGCAATGACTTCAGGGCTGAAGCTATAGCTCAGTGGTAGAGTGCCTGCTTCACAGGTATGAGGCCCTGGATTTGATCCTCACCACCACATAAAAATAAAGATATTGTGTCCATATATAACTGAAAAAAAAAAAAGCAATGACTTCAAATTATACTATGGTTATAGTAACAAAAACTGAATGGTACTGGCATGAAAATAGACACAGACCAATGAAACAGAAGACACAGAGACAAATCCATAGAGATTCAGTCATCTGCACAGAGACCAATCCACAAAATTATAACTATCTTATATTTGATAAAGGGGCTAAAAGCATGCAATGGAGAAAGGATAGCATCTTCAACAAATGGTGCTGGGAAAACTGGAAATCCATATGCAACAAAATGAAACTGAATCCCTTTCTCTCACCATGCACAAATGTTAACACAAAATGGATCAAGGAGCTTGATATCAAATCAGAGACTCTGCGTCTGATAGAAGAAAAAGTTGGCTCCGATCTACATACTGTGGGGTTGGGCTCCAAATTCCTTAATAGGACACCCATAGCACAAGAGTTAAAAACAAGAATCAACAAATGGGACTTACTCAAACTAAAAAGTTTTTTTCTCAGCAAGAGAAACAATAAGAGAGGTAAATAGAGAGCCTACATCCTGGGAACAAATCTTTACTCCTCACACTTCAGATAGAGCCCTAATATCCAGAGTATACAAAGAACTCAAAAAATTAAACAATAAGAAAACAAATAACCCAATCAACAAATGGGCCAAGGACTTGAACAGACACTTCTCAGAGGAGGATATACAATCAATCAACAAGTACATGAAAAAATGCTCACCATCTCTAGCAGTCAGAGAAATGCAAATCAAAACCACCCTAAGATACCATCTCACTCCAGTAAGATTGGCAGCCATTATGAAGTCAAACAACAACAAGTGCTGGCTAGGATGTGGGGAAAAGGGTACACTTGTACATTGCTGGTGGGACTGCAAATTGGTGCGGCCAATTTGGAAAGCAGTATGGAGATTCCTGGGAAAGCTGGGAATGGAACCACCATTTGACCCAGCTATTGCCCTTCTCGGACTATTCCCTGAAGACCTTAAAAGAGAGTACTATAGGGATACTGCTACATCGATGTTCATAGCAGCACAATTCACAATAGCTAGACTGTGGAACCAACTTAGATGCCCTTCAATAGATGAATGGATTAAAAAATGTGGCATTTATACACGATGGAGTATTACTCAGCACTAAAAAATGACAAAATCATGGAATTTGCAGGGAAATGGATGGCATTAGAGCAGATTATGCTAAGTGAAGCTAGCCAATCCCTAAAAAACAAATGCCAAATGTCTTCTTTGATATAAGGAGAGCAACTAAAAACAGAGCAGGGAGGAAGAGCATGAGAAAAAGACTGACATTAAACAGGGACGAGAGGTGGGAGGGAAAGGGAGAGAGAAGGGAAATTGCATGGAAATGGAAGGAGACCCTCATTGTTATACAAAATTGCATATAAGAGGATGTGAGGGGAAAGGGGAAAAAAATCAAGGGAGAGAAATGAATTACAGTAGATGGGGTAGAGAGAGAAGATGGGAGGGGAGGAGAGAGGGGATAGTAGAGGATAGGAAAGATAGCAGAATGCAACAGTCACTAGTATGGCAATATGCAAAAACGTGGGTGTGTAACCGATGTGATTCTGCAATCTGTATATGGGGTAAAAATGGGAGTTCGTAACCCACTTGAATCAAATGTATGAAATATGATATGTCAAGAGCTTTGTAATGTTTTGAACAACCAATAAAAAAAAAATAAAAAAAAAAAAGAGATTCAGTCATCTGACAAAGGTGTCAAAACATACACTGGAGGGGCTAAGGCTGAGGCTCAGGGGTAGCACACTTGCGTGGCATGTGTGAGGCACTGGGTTCAATTCTCAGCACTGAATATAAATAAATAAAATAAAGGTCTGTCGACAACTTAAGAAAAAATATATACTGGAGAAAAGACAGCTTTTTCAAACAAATGGTGCTTGGAAAAGTGGTTTTCCATATACAGAAGAATGAGTCTAGATCCCTATCTCATGCTATACAAATGCCAACTCAAAAAGGATCAAAGACCTAGGAACAAGACCAGACACTGGTCTTAGTTCTCCTAGAAGAAAATATAAGGTCCACACTCCAACACATAAGTGCAGGCATTGACTTTCTTTCTTTCTTTGGTACCCAGATTTAACCCAGGGGCTCTTAACCATTGTGCCATATCCCCAAGCCCTTTCTTGTATTTTATTTAGAGACAGGGTCTTACTGAGATACTTAGGACCTTGCTAAGTTTCTGAGGCTGGTTTTGAACTCACAATCTTCTTGCCTCAGCTTCTTGAGCTGCTGGGATTACAGGCATGTGCCATTGCACCTGACCAGGCAATGACTTTCTCAGTAGGACTTCCAAAGCTCAGAAAATAATGTCGAGAATAAATAAAGATGGGATGACATTAAATTAAAAAAGCTCCTTCATAGCCAAAGGAAACAATGTGAAGAAAGAACCTATTGGATGGAAGAAAATCTTTGCTACTTATTCTTCTGATAGAGGATTACTATCCAAAATAACTTTACACTAATATTTTTTTTTAAAAAATTAAAAAATATGAAAACCCAAACCAAACAACCCACTCAAAACCAAATCCAAAATAGAACAACAAAACCAAAACCATTTGACCCAGCTATCCCTCTCCTTAGTCTATACCCAAAGGACTTAAAAACAGCATACTACAGGGACATAGCCATATCAATGTTTATAGCAGCACAATTCACAACAGCTAAACTGTGGAACAACCTAGATGCCCTTCAATAGATGAATGGATTAAAAATGTGGCATATATACACAAGAATATTACTCAGCAATAAAAGAGAATGAAATCATGACTTTTGCAGGTAAATGGATGGAAATAGAGAAGATAATGCTAAGTGAAGTTAGCCAATCCCAAAAAACCAAATGCTGAATATTTTCTCTGATATAAGGAGACTGATTCATAGTGGGAGAGGGAGCATGGGAGGAATAGCGAACTCTAATAGGGCAGAGGGGTGGGAGGGAAAGGGAGGGGTTAGAAATGATAGTGGAATGTGATGGACATTATTATCCAAAGTACATGTATAAAGACATGAATTGGTGTGAATATACTTTATATACAACCAGAGATATGAAAAATTTTGCTCTATATATGTAATAAGAATTGTAATCCATTCTGCTGTCGCATATAAATAAAAAACAAAAACAAAAACAAAAAACCCCTAACAAAAACAAAAAAACTTCTCAAAAGAAGAAATACAAATGGTCACTAAATATATGAAAAAAACATCTTTAGCAATTAGGGAAATGCAAATGAAAACTACACTTAGATTTCCTATTACTCCAGTTAGAACGGCAGCTATCAAGAATACAAACAATAACAAATGCTGGAGAGAATGTGGAGAAAAAGGAACATATTTACACTGTTGGTAGGATTGTAAATTAGTACAACCACTATGGAAATCAATTGAAAGTTCATCAAAAGACTAGGAATGGAACCATCATATAACCTAGCTATACCACTCCTCAGTATTTATCCTAAAAAATTAAAGTCAAAATATTATAGAGATACATGCATATCCATGTTTATAATAGCAGAATTCACAATAGCCAAACTGTGGAACCAGCTTAGGTGTTCATTAATGAATGAATAACAAAAATGTAGTATATATACATAATGGAGTTTTATTCTGCCATAAAGAAAAGTGTGAAATTATGTCTTTGGCAGAAAAATGGAGGGAACTTGAGAACATTATGTTAAGTGAAATAAACCAAACTCAAGAAGTTAAGGGTCACATGTTTTCTCTCATATGTGGAAACTAGAGAGAATAATGGAAAAGAAAGTGGTGGGTGGAGCTTATGAATAGAAGGGAGATCAATAAGAGTAGACAAAAGGAATCAGGGGGAAGGAGGAGGGGAAGGAAAGGAGAAATACTGGGGAATGGAATTACCAAAATTATATTGCTATATTATATACATGGACAAATATATAACAATAAATACCACCATTATGTATAATCAGGGTGTATAAATATGTAAAATATGGAAAAATTTATTATTATTATTATTATTATTATAAGATTTTGTTACATATGTGTAAATATGTAAAATATGGAAAAAATTCTTTCAGTGTTTCCCCAATATCTCCCCTAAGATAAACTTCTAATTCCTTCACATGTTTCATAAGGGCTCAGCTCTCTTCTTCAACTCCTGCCATACTCAGTGTATGATTTATTCTGAACAATTTAACAATTCCTTGAATACGTCATGACCTTCTTTAGCTCTCCTATCCCCAGCTCCCGTAATGCTAGAGATTCCCTTGTGCGTGCTAGGCAAGTGCTTTTCCACAGAGCTACATTTTTTAGCCCACTTCTTTAGCTTTTGAATCTAGGAATACTGTGCCCAGAATGCCTTCTCTTTCTCTGTATTGCTGGCAAATTCCTACTCATACTTCAAGAAATTAGTTCAAATTTCACCTCTTCTAGGAAGGCCTCCCCGAACTCTCTAGGCAGTTAACTGGTTCTTTTTTGTATCTTCATAGTATACATCTTACATTTATTAGATTACTAAAAATTATTGTTAACATGTCTATTTTTCTTTAGAAGTGAAATCAAGAAGGCAGGGACTGGACCCTTTGCATCCCTAACTTCAGCAAAATGACTAACACTATGCTTAATGAATGTCTGATAAACAGCCACTGCTTTTTAGCATTATATACTTACCACAGCTGGTGAGGGAACATGAATGCTTGGGACAGATCGAGGACGCACATGATTGGCCAAATGGCAAAGAACAACACCATCAGTTAGAGCTGCTCCAAGATCACAAGGCAGAGATACTTTTAGTCGGTACTCTATATGCTAACAGAATAGGAAAACATGTAATACAGTAATTGAAGATTGATTAACAAATAAGACATAATGGAGTTACAATGGAATACACTTAGTTGGAAATCAAGATAAAAAGGAAATAAGGAGATCATACATGTACATACATACAGCAGCTAGGCCACAGTGCCAAATACAACAGAAATTCATATACCATTTTCTGAATAAAAAGAAAACAAAGACTGGATTCTCTTTCGATTTCAAAATAAAATAGCTAACCTCTTATCACATAAGTGTATATGTATATGTGTATGTTCGTATAAATTATTATTATAAGATTTTGTTATAATATGAAGCAGAAAGGAAATGAAAATAATTTCAAATGCATAGGGCTAAGAATAACCCATCTCAATTTTTTCAGTAAAAAGTTGAAAAGAATTTCTTCAGTAGCATAATTTCTTTTACATTTATCACAAAACACAGCCACAATAGATATCTACTAATTCTATGAACAAGTAATTATGGGATTATGGATTATAGTAATATCACGGAAAAAGTGCAATTCAAAGATAATATACACACTTTTCGTAGTTGTTCTATTAATTTCAGCTCTTCTTCTCTCTGCCTTGATATGGGATCTGTAGAATCAGTGGTAGGTGCAGAAGATGGGAGAGGTGAAGCATGGCCTAGAAAAATACTAACATGTTAGATAGAAAACCAATGCTAAGAAAATACATCTGTCTGATGACAATGTCCTTGCAAGGACATCATTTTCTGCTTTCTGGATTGAATTTTTAAAAATGTTTTTATTATGGAAAATTTCAAATATACATGATAATGATTACTCATTTGGCTTAACTACTGTATTTGAGCCCAAAAATGTTATCATTGAAAAAAAAATACATATACAGAAAATTATACAAATAGCAGAGATTAATAATTTTCCTCAGAAAGTGAAACAATTAATATCCTTAGAGATATTAATTAATTAGTAAATGAAACATTACTTATGCCCAAAAGCCCTTTTGCATGCTCTGCCTATCAGTACCTAAAGGTTACCAGTATGCTGACTTCAAAAGCCATAGATTAGTTTTCTCATTTTTGAACTTTCTATAAATTAAATCATATTGTATGCTTTTGTGGTCTGGCTTCTTTTGATTAACATGATGAGATTTATCCATGTTGACGTTCAGAGTTATTTGTTCATTTTCATGACCTTTACGGTATATGCCAATGTTTAGCTATACCACAATTTATTATCCATTCTACTGATGGACATTGTATTTGGGGCTATTTTGAATAATACTGCTGTGAATATTTTTGGACATATTTTCGGTATACCTGTGTGCATATTTCTCAAAATTGTTGGTTTATGGTCATGGAGTATACAAATGTTTGACAGTTTATCAATACAGAAAAATCTGAAAAAGCGCATTGCAGCTGGGTACGGTGGCACATCCCTCTAATCCTAGTGACTCAGGAGGCTGAGGCAGGAGTCTTGCAAGTTTAAAGTCCAGCCTCAGGAATGTAGTGAGACCCTGTCTCAAAATAAAAAATCGAAAGAGCTGGGAATATAGCTTAGTGGGAAAGTGTCCCTGGGCTCCATCCCCAGTATCAAAGGGGTCAGGGAGAAGAAGCTATATCCTCTAACTGAAGAGGATTTTATTTGTTCAAATATTCAAAACTTATTTAGCTGGATGTGGCAGTGCATACCTGTAATCCCAGCTACTCAGGAGGCTAAGATAGGAGGATTTCAAGCTCCAGGCCATCTTAGTACCCCAACCCCCCTAAATCAAAAAACATAAAAATGCTTGCTTTTAAGTGATTCTAAGCAACTTTTTAATCAAAACAGATTTAATCACAGGTATCTGCAGAGTTTAAAGCTTTTGGTATATAAGTTTAAAAGATGTTACAGTTTATGTCTTGTATAAAGCAACTTTCCAGCCCGAACCCTATCCTGCCCCATTTTCAAAATCACTATCACCTACCTTTATTTGTTTCTGCCCTGACAGCTGCTCGGAAAAGGAAACTTTCAGGGCGCAGGGGTTGATTTCTCTGGATGGTAGCAGGAAAAGAATATGCAGGGGAATGATGAACTAAATCAGTATGGAAAAGCAAAATGAAACGAAAGATGGAAAGCAAATTAAATATAATGTAGATGTACATGTCACAGTCACAAAAGTTCAGTAAGTAGTACATACAGAAAAAATCAAACATGGCAATATGATATAAAATGATACTTTTTTTTTTTTTGTACTTAGGATTGAACCAAAGAGTGCTCTATCACTAAGCTACATCCCGAGCCCTTTTTATTTATTTTTTTATTTTAAGACAGGTTCTCAATAAGTTGCTGAGGCTGGCCTGGTACTTGTGATCCTCCTGCCTCAGCCTTCTGAGTTGCTGGCATTTCAGGTGTGTGCCACCATGCTTGTTAAGAATTCTGTTTACTAACGAAAAATCTGGCATAGAAAAGTAATCCTTAGAGAAGGGTTTTTAATTCTCATGTTATTTTTGGTATATCAATAAATACAGAAAAATGCTAGTATACTGAACATACCCTCTTGCAAATCTATAGCCCTGCTGGCTCAAGCTCATTTGTTCTCATCAAATGGCTAAGTAGTTGAATAACCAGTTGAATTAAAAAGTGGGAAATGTTTAGAAAGTTTTCAATTTGTGTCTGATTTCTGTCTCAGAAAAAGAAGTCAGTTCTCTAACTAATCAACTTGTTCAAGAAAATTCTGGTTAAGAATTAGATCTTGATATGGTTAACTGTACTTTTGTGTCTATTACCTGTTTCTGTTGTAGGTGAACTTGATAAGGCAGTAGATCTGTCATCACTCTGTGGAGAAAGACACAGCAATAATTATTATTCAAGAAGACAAACTTTCCACATTTATGTTAACTTTGGGACTATATTAAAAAAAACCCAAAACCAAAAACCCATGCAACTCTCCTTCAAATTTAAGTCTTAGAATGAAAATTAAGTGAAAAGAATTAATCTCGTACATTATTTTAAAAAAATATATATTTTTTTAGTTGTAGACAGACACAATACCTTTATTTATTTATTTTTTATGTGGTGCTGAGGATCGAACCTAGTCCTGCACATGTGCTAGGCAAGCACTCTACCACTGAGCTACATACAACCCCAGTCAAACTTTTTGTGTTTATGTAAAGTATTATCTAAAAATAACAGGTATTTCCAAAGACTGAGAAGTCATCACTATAAGGTACAAAATATATGGGAAAGAATAAAATTTTATTTTCTAATAGCAATTCTCTGGAATAATTTCTAAAATACTTTTTCCTCTGGAGAATAATATTTAATCTTTTGGAAAACAGGAAACAGGATTCTTCATTCAATTAGAAACAAATGTGTTTACAAGATGATGTCTTTTCTAGAATAGTATTTGATTTCAATTCATTGAAGAACAGTACTGTAAAAAGGAGGAGGAACTAGCTAAAACGGTATAAAGTTTACGTAAAAAAAAAAGGGAACTTAAGATAAAAAACATATTCAATGGCTGGGTTAAAGATGTTGAAGGTTTGGCAGGAGAGCAGAATCAAGAAGTCTTGACATCTAATTAAATTTAAACATAACTTTATGGTATATTAGGCATTTCTAAACCAAAATGACTTTAAAACTAACACACACACACATATCTGCTCCCTCCCACCCTACCCAGGGCTCAATAGTTTCAAAAATCTCATATCTCTAGTTGAATTTGGGTCAGATAAAATAAATGATGACAGAATTTTAATTGCAAACAACAATGACAAGGAAAGAGCCATGCAGTTGAGAATATTCTTGGACAGATTTAGAGACAATTTTCTGGTAATGATTCCTTAGTTTGATATTTATGGGCTGAGAGTCAAGATTTAAATGTTAAGATTTAAAAAGCAAGCTGGGCTTGCAAGGCATGGTGGCATACCTGTAATCTCAGTGACTCGGGAGGCTGAGGCAGGAAGATTGCAAGGTCAAGGCCAGCCTCAGCAATTTAGTGAGACTCTGTCACCCCCCAAAAAAGGTGTGTGTGGGGATGCGGGGAGGCTGGGGATGTGGCTCAGTTGTGAAGCGCCTCTGGGTTCAATTCCAGGTACCGCCCCCCCCCCCCCCAAAAAAAAAGCCAACAAGAAGCTTTGCTCTTGACTGAGGCAGAAACAACATGTTCATCAAGATTATAGATGTATATAATCTATATTTTAGGTGTTGAAAAAAAATGGAAACTTTAATAAATTTAAAACAAGAGTAATAGGAATTAATAAAAAGGAATCAACAGGCAAATGAGGCAAAAGCTGGATACTTTAGATGGAAACAAAAAGACTACTGTTATTTTCAAAGATATGAGCTAGGAAGGAGAAAGTTAGCTAAATGAAGACTGGCTGAAATACCAATGGTATAAGTAGAAAAAACATTTAAAGGCAAAAATTATTCTAGATAAAGGAAAAAATATTTTTAAAAATTTAAAAGAATTATTCATAGGATACAGACTAGAAATTTAACATTTTAAAGAATAAAGGAAAGTTAATGGGCAGCTAGCTTTATTGGATAAGAAGGAGGAGCCAAAACAAATGATGCTGAAGGTCAGCAAATGTTCTCTACCTCCAGAAACAGCAACTGATACCATGCAACTCACCTGTGAAAGAAACTAAAGCCAGAAGGCAGGAAACTGTTAAAAGGATGACTTTTAATATACTTTTATTGAAACTATAAATCTACATGACTTGCATTTTAGGACACTATAAAATAATTAGTTGAAATCACATTGGGATCATTAATTATATTTGGGAATTCTTGGAGAACCAGACAGAAAACAAAAAGATTATAAAATAATCTCAGAAGTTGAAATGAACTCAAATTCTAAGCCTGGCTAAGAAACAACAATAAGAAATTATGCCTAAATTCAGTACATAACTGCTGTAAAGATAAAAATAAAGAATAAATCTTTTAAAACTAGTAATTTGAGGGGCTGGAGTTGTGGCTCAGTGGTAGAGTGCTTGCCTAGCATGTGTGAGGCACTGGGTTCGATTCTCAGCACCACATATAAATAAATAAAAGTCCATCAACAACTAATAAAATATTTTAAAAAATCTACTCATTTGACAGTCAAGCAGGCTGGTAGAAACAAAGTCATAGCCACTTCTATAGAGAAACTTTGGTCTGGATCATGCAACTTTTGGCACATTTGTATATGGCCTTTATTAGCTATGACTCAGATTAAAAGTGCCAATGCCATGAGATATCCCTTGAGTATAATGAATTAACTTCTCTCTCACACATGTAAAATGGTTTACCTTCCTTGAGAGAATTGTGGAAAAAAAAAAAGTAACCAAAATAACTTTCTGTTGTACAAATAAGGAACTCAACTGAGAATAATTGGAAAAAATGTTAACATGGAAAATAACGTAGGTAGTTTTTTCAGGGTCAAGTAGAGAAGTACACAGTGGTAAATAATAGCTTTCAAATATAAAGAATCTTACATAAAGATTGTTAAGTAATGGAAAAAAGAAATCAGTACACGCCATAGCCAGAACAGATACGTTAGTCAAAGAGAGGATCTTGACAGTGAGAAGTTTTAATAATTTCTTATGTATACTAAAATAAAGATGCAATTATCATTCCCAGAGGCCTTAAAAAATAAAATACTACAGGCTCTAAATTTTTAGAATTTAGACTAAATTTTTCTAAAAGGTGGAATTTATCATCTAATATTACTGTTGACATAAAGCAAAGGGTGGCAATTTTTTTTCTTAAAAGGCCAAACAAACATTTAGGCTTGCAGATTGTTATAATCTCTGTCACAACTATTCCAACTCTGCTGTTTATTGCAAAAGCAGACACAGACAATAAATACATAAACAAAAGGGATTGGCTGTGTACCAATAAAAGTTTTTTGTTGTTATTGGTTTTTGTTTTTGTTTTTTTTTTTTGGTACCAGGGATTAATCTGGGGGCACTTAACTACTGAGCCACATCTCAAGGGCTTTTTATATTTTATTTTGAGACAGGGTCCCATTAAGTTGCTTACTTCACTAAGTTGCTGAGGCTGGCTTTGAACTCATTGTTCTCCTGCCTCAGCCTTCTGAGTTGCTGGGATTACAGGCATGTACCATCACACTTTCAAAAAATTTCAAGTGAAACCAGTGTTAAACTCAAATAGTTTCATAAGCTTAGGTATATTTCATACAATCCTAGATTTCAGATTGTTGCTATCACCAATCTATTGGAAAATTTAAGACCTACTTTGTGCACACCCTCCCCAAATTTCCTGGTGAAATAATGTAACAAAAGATACCTTAAGAGGCGTGAAGGCAGAAGAATGAAGCAGGGTAACAGCACAGCCCACTTGATTCAACCCTGACAGCGACTAAATTTCAAAAAGAGGAAGAGAAGAAACAGAAGGTAGCATTTATGTTAGCAAAATGCCAGGCAGGCAGATCTGATCAGTGAAATTAGAGAAGGAAAAGTCATTGACAAACTTTTCAAAATGTTTTACCAAGGTTATTAATAAGTTTGAAGGAGAATATTTTGGGGGAAAATCCCCATCATTTATACAACATAGGATCTCTACCTGAATAATTCAGGATATTTGTAATATCTCATACCATATTAATGAAGAACCAAGAGGCATGAGTTAATAAAAATTATTTTACACAGAAATAAAACTAAGAACATCAATATTTTTAGCAAAATAGTTTTCAAACTATTGAGTCCTTTGCTGTTCCTATAGCAGGGAAAATGAACCAGTCAATTTTAACTGAGCAGAACTGGCTTCAGAACAATATTTTAAAAATATTAATCCAAATTAATTTATTATAATCCAATTTAAGGCTCTGATGTGAGAACACAGGACATAACAATTCTGTATCACACCTTAAGGATAAACCAGCATTTCATTTCTGCCTCTGTGAAATTCCAAATGACCTATAAGAGGGTAGGGAAGAATCCCCCTACCCCCTGTTTTTAATCCTTTATCTTTCACCAGCCAACATACAACTAGTTAGGTATATTACAGATATTATAAGAAATACTGTTAGAAACTAATGTCTATGTATGATTATTACTCAACATTTGAAATTAAAATAAAAAAGAAGCCATTATATAGATTTTTGATTATAGCTAAGACGGTCAAGACATAGAACTTTTTCCTTTTGCCACATGGGAAATAAAAATCAGAGAAGATTTTTCAGAAAGGAACTGAATAAGATTTACCTACTATGACAATAAAATGGCAAAAGCTTAAAGCTATTAAGGTCTTTATAAATTAAATAATAAAAAAAAATTAAACTAGGGATACATCATGGGATAAATGAACAAAAACATAGGTGGGCATTTATTTATTTATTTTGGTATCAGGGATTGAACTCAGGGGTGCTTAAACACTGAGACACATCCCCAGCCCATTTTTGTATTTTATTTAGAGACAGAGTTGCTTAGGGCTCGCTAAGTTGCTGAGACTGGCTTTGAATTCACGATCCTCCTGCCTCAGCCTCCTGAGCTGCTCCCGACCATGCCCAGCATAGGTGGGCATTTATAAAAGGGTCTATGTGTATTTAATAGGATAAATACACCTTTCCCCCCCCCCCCCCCCAGATAGGGTCTTTCTCTGATGCCCAGGCTGGTCTTAAACTTTGTGGACTTGTGATCTGCCTGCCTTAGCCACCCAAGTAACTGGGACTATAGGCATGCAACACCATGCCTGATTACAACTATATTTTTAATGAGAATTAGTAGAGAACAGTATATATATTTTTTATTTTGACAAAAAAGCATGTAACCAATAATATATTTCTGTGACAAAATCTATTTTAACACAGAAACAAATATTGTGCCAAAGAATAAGATCATGACAATGGTAAGACAAGTGTATGCTTCATCTGTTCAGATTTCCTAGACTTCCTTTTAATTAAATGTTTTGGAACTACAGTCAATCTCAAATATAAAAAGTCTAGAAGCCACCGGGTACCGTGGTGCACACCTGTAAGCCTAGCTAATCAAAAGGCTGGGGCAGGAGGATTGCAAGTTTGAGTCTAGCCTCATTTTGCAATTCAGTGAGGTCCTGTATCAGAATAAAAATACAAAAGGTTAAGGAATGCAGTACAGGGAGACATAAAAGGTTAAAAGCAACAGGCACTTGAGATGCGGCCCTAAAAGAATATTAGTGTAACTGGCATTAAATGTTACTAATATATATTTCAAATCCTAAATTACAAGGTCTTTAAATCAAATTCAACCTTTTCCTTCTTGTAACATCAGACATGTTCATGACAAAACAATTTAATGAGCAATTATTAGATATATAACATTTATGTGTTCATTCAATAAATATTTACTGAGCACCTAATATATTCCCAGGAACTATGGTGGGGCCAGGGTATGAAAGGGTAAATATGACAGAGAATATCCTTGTGCCCCTGAAGCTTACAGTCTGGTAGTCCAATAGGGGAAATATATTTTTAAAAAATGTAAATGAAAGTACTATAAAGAAAAAAATAACAACGAAGACAATTTGATTTGAGGAAAGGAAGCCATAGAAAACTATTTTGAAGATGAGACATTGTTAAACAGACACCTGATTAATGAGGAGGAATCAATCAAAAGGAATATGCAGGGAGGGAGAGGCATTCTGGTGTAAGGAGAGAACAGCCCTTTGCAAAGGGTGGAAAAGGGCTTACCATATCTGTAGAGCTGGGAAAAATCCTAGAGTGAGCCCAGATATGAGCCTGGAGAGGCAGGCAGTAGCCAGAGCACAAAAGCTTTGAGGCCAGGTTAAGAGGTCTAGACTTCAAGAGCAATTTAATGTCTTCGAAGAATAATTTTGAGAATATCAAAGCTATATGATTTAAAATATGACTTAGGAAATATGATTTAAAATAGGACTCTTTTGTTCAGGGTTAGCTGGATATTATTTGGCATACAAAAAAATGTGAGATTTGTTTTTAAAGGCCACCTATACTTACAAAGTCAATATGGTTCTTGGTGTACATGTTCTACCTTTCCAACATGCATACTGATAATACATACAAGTATATATGTTTTGACAAATGGTTGAAGGATGTTTCAAATTTCATGCTAAGGAAATTTTGCTTTTTTTTTTTTTTTTCAATTTCTGCTTTTTTCTTGAAAAAAACTACTGGGCACTCAGACTTATATCACTTACAATATGTGTTATTAAATCTCATCTTCAGTGCCTGAACTGTTTTCAGTTACAATGTAGGAGCAATATAGCAAATATAGCAGGGTATTTATTGCAGGTCCTTGAGTGAGCCAGACCTAGACTCAAACCTCGCCTTACACTTACCAGCTAAGTGACCTTGGAAAGGCCACATTTTGGACAAGATATTCTGTGCCTCAGTAATTACTTATGAAATGGTGCTAAATTTAACCTTAACTCTTGCTATGAAAATTGAATGAGATAATTTTGTGTGCAGATCATCAGCAGTCCTATCTTTCCATATTAATTTAAACTAATTTTATTTCTCATGCCAATTCCACTAAAACTCCAGAGACTGGTGATTGTATTCATTTGTAAAACTGCCAGTTAAAATGTGCTTTATCTATCTCAAAGGAAATGAAGACTGGAGAATACATAGAAAATTTAACAAACAATGGAAGTTTCTGTAGTAGGAGTCTCACATGAAAGCATGCAATTTATATAGTATGCACAATGGCAACAGTTTCCAGCACATAGGACAGAATTTGCTATAGACATTAGCCTTTTGAACTGCTAGTTTTCATTACTATTATAGAATAATAACATAAAACATGATGGGAAAAGCAATTCTATAAATGGTTAGAATTCTCTTGCAAGGCTAATCAGCAGATAGCATTCCAGTTAATGTTTTTTTTGAGTTTAAAGAATGGTCATGGAGGGATAATCTTGAGATGCAAATATTTAAAACCTAAGTCTGGGATTTTTAGTAGCTTATAATACATAATAAATAGGATACCAAATATATAATTGTATAATTAGTATCACAGAGTAAGGGGTTTCATTTAACATACAGATGACTCATGAGTCAAATTATGATTAATAAAGTATCAGCTGGAATTAGAAAAGACATTTAAAAAACTCTAACATAAAGTCAATGTGGTTCTCAATGTAAATGTTTCATCTTGGGAAGCACTAACATGTGAATCATAGCTGCAGAACTCTGAAACACTTGGTAAATCACAAATGGTAAAGCAGTGAAATAGTTCTAGTTGTTTATAAAGCATTTAGTAATGATGCTCATCATGTTTTATGGTATTTTACCATAATTAGATAATTTCTGAGTGAAAGCACAATAACTATTCTTCAATATTTAGAAATAGCAGCATAAAACTCCATTTTGCATAAACTCTTACCACTAACAAGGCACTATCATCAGTGTGTTGAGACCTTCTGGATGGGAAAGGACACTGGAGATGTGGAAAAAAATGAATCAAATCAAAAACAAACTACGCACACAAGCGATACATTTAAAAAATACGCACACAAGGAAAGAGACATAAGTCACTTTTGAAGAGCTGACACATAGGATCATGTTCACAATCACTTGGAATTCATATACAATAGCCAATAAACACTGATGTTCTTCCAAAGAGTTTAAACAACTTCAAATATGATCTTTTTTTAACTTTTTTTTTTATTTGTAGATGAATACAATACCTTTATTTATTTATTTTTATGTGGTGCTGAGACTTGAACCCAGTGCCTCACACATGCTAGGTAAGCACTCTGCCACTGAGCTACAACCCCAGCCCTTCAAATATGACCTTACTGCCTAAAAAACCCTCTAAGGAGGGATCTGGGGTTATTTTCTGTTCACAGAAGAGAAAGCTGATACCTGATATAATATAAAGAATTTGCAGTCATCTAGTGAACCAGTGGTAAATTTAAAAATAAATCCTAGAGACATGATTTCTGGTGTATAAATGGTTAGAATTTTCTTGCAAGGCTAATCTGCAGACAGCATTCCAGTTAATGTTTTTCTAAGTTTAAAGAATAGTTAAGGAGGGATAATCTTGAGATGCAAATATTTAAAACCTAAATCTGGAATTTTTAGTAGCTTACAATACATAATAAATAGGATACCAAACATAAAGTTGTATAATTAGTATCACAGAGTAAGGGGCTTCATTTAACATACAGGTGACTCATGAGTCAAATTACATCTCTTCATTACCTTTCTCTGTAAATAAGGTATAATTAAACAATTTAAACCTATACATTTTTTTTAGTGAAGCTTTAGTTTTCAGAGAATGAATTATTCAAGAACAATCATCAAAAAGGAAATGTCGGGGTAAAAAATGGAAAATGTATTATTAAGCATATCACACTCTGATTGTCAAAGGCTTGTACAGAATTATTATTATGTGAAAACAACTAAAAATGTCTCAATGACTTTTTCAGGTATTATACAAATATATAAAGTTCTCATATAAATAGAATTAGTTATTATAGTTCAATAAGATTTTAAAACACTTTTCTAATGGACATTTTTAGAGCAGATTATGCTAAGTGAAGTTAGCCAATCCCTAAAAAACAAATGCCAAATGTCTTCTCTGATATAGGGGGGTGACTCAAAATGGGATAGGGAGGAAGAGCCTGAGAAGAAGACTACCACTAAATAGGGAAGAGAGGTGGGAGGGAAAAAGAGAGAGAAGGGGAGTTGCACAGAAGATGGAAGGAGAACCTCATTGTTATACAGAATACATATATGATGTTGGGATGAGAAAAAGAAAAAAAAAGTGTGTCACTTTGGATTGTATAGAGAGAAAGGATAGGAGAGGAGGGGAGGAGTGGGGGGATAGGAAGGGCAGCAGAATAGACTAGACATTATGATTGATATATGTACATTCCATGTATGTATTATATGTCAAAATACATTCTGCTGTCATGTATGACTAAAAAAAAATAAATCATATGGTACTTAAAAAAATAAAATATAAACATTCTAAATATATTTTCTCATACTAAAAAAACTTGGGTTGTCTATCTATCTATCTATCTATCTATCTATCTATCTATCTATCTATCTATGAGGTATTGGGGACTGATCCCAGTACCTCAAATTCACTATTTCCCATACCTATTTTCCTCCAATTTGTTCATTTCTATTATTATCACAAATAATAATCTTAGAGCTTCTAGGATTATCTTGCATTACAGAGAACATTTTGAAATGGATAAGAAGGGGATGATGTCCCTAGCAGAGATGAGGAGGGTAAGAAATCTCTAGAGTGATATACATGTAGATGAATACATACATATAAAATCCTGACCTAGAAATTTTGATAATCCCTAGCCTGTATCTTCTTAAGTACAATTTTGTGATGGAAAAAAGAAAAAAGGCAATATTTTGATCACTGAAAGAATGATAATCACTTCAAAACATTTCATTCCCACTATAAAAATAATAAATCCCTCCCCCAAAGTAATTATATAGACTTACCTCACCATCTGTGGGGGGTTGTTGCTTTTGTGGACTTTGTGATGCTTTTTGCTACATGCCCCAAACCCCCACAAAAAAAGAAAGTTGGTCAGAATCTGGAACACATATTTGAAATGGTAAACTGCATTTACTAAAACAATTATAGTAATTTCCTTATTTTTTATATATGACGCTTTATGTTACACCCTACCTTAAATATTTTACAATTTAAATGAAGAAAAACAACAAACTATACTATCATATTTCTATCAGTATTTAAAAAAGAAAAAAGAAATTTAAAACTTTATGTATACCTATATACACATTGTGCCATTATATTCTTTCAATATTCTCTCAATATGAACTCAATCCTTCTTCTCTAATGGCTTTAAATATCATGCTAATACTGACAACTTGAATTTTCTATTAGCTAAGTCTCAGACATTTTCAATTGCTTATTCAAACTCTACTTGGAAACTCAATGTCATTGCATTATCAACATATGCAAAAACAAATTCACTATTTAGTATACCTATTTTCCCCCAATTTGTTCATTTGTTATTATCACAAATAATACCAATATCAGTGTATTCAGTGTTTTACAATGTGTTCTTACACACAGTTTTCTCAAGTGACTTTTCTTATTCTGTGAAATAAACAAAAACCATAATTCAGAGATGAGGAAACTGAGCAAAGAGCTTATGGGGCAAGTACAAATTTACACCTTTCTTCTGACCTCAAATCCAACATACTCCCCACATGCTAGATTCCCACTAAAACCTTTCATTTAGTCTCAAAACTTTGCTTTGGAACCTTCTTTTCTTCATTCATCTTCATGATTTATTCATCATTTGTCACTACATATCTATTGTGCAAAGTATAAAAATGCTTCTTTTGAAATGCCTCTTGATAAAATTCACTGTAGGGCTGGGGATATAGCTCAGTTGGTAGAGTGCTTGCCTCACATGCACAAGGCCTGAGTTCAATCCCCAGAACCATGAAAAAAAAAAAAAAATCCACTGTAGTGCTCTGTGTGGTGGTGCACACCTATAATCCCAGCTACTTGTGAGGCTGAGGCAGGACAATGGTAAGTTCAAGGCCAGCCTGGGCAATTTAGCAAGACCCTGTTTCAAAATAAAAAATGGGAATGTAGCTCAGTGGTAGAGTGTTCCTGGGTTCAACATCCCTTACTGGACAAAATCCACCGTAGTAGAGTATTAAATATTAGGTATATCTATCATAATTCTGAAAGTTAACACTTTATAATTAAATATTGTAAGAAACAAAAGGTACAGAATAGTTCAATAACTTTCCAAAAATCAAGCACATACAAAGGACAAAGTTGGATTCAAATTCAGATATTTCTGATTCTAAACTCATGTCACTATGTAACTCTGTCAACCCTCTGTCACCTTAGAAATCTTCTAGTTTTATGTCCTCACTTTGCACCATTTTCTTAATTAATGCAATTACCATTTTATTTCTTCTTTCTAGCTCTTTCTTCCGGACCTGTTCTAACATGAGAAGACTAGTTTTTCAGAAGTATTTATATTTTTTTTGCTTTTCTCCTACTTAAGAACTTAAAATTGTTCTCTTCTGCCTAAATTAGATTATGATTTAATTTGACATTTAATCATGACCATCTGTAGTGTAATTATTTATCTCTTACTAGCTATGTAACTTCTACAACAAACAAAGCTAAAATTGAGTAAATTTATGAAAAATGCATAGAATAGCACCTAGGGTATAGTAAGTGTTAGCAATGATCAATTATTGAGGGGCAGTATAGCATTATGGTCAGAGTAGGTTCTGGAGCCAGTCTGCTTACTAGCATTCTTGCTCTGTGGCTTACTAGCAGAGTATTTGACCTTAATCTTAGGCAAATTGTTATCCTCTCTGAGCATAAAAAGAGAATATCCTAGTACTTATCTTATTTGACTACTGGGAAGACCAAAGGAGTTAATATAAGTGCTTGAAACAGTATGTGGGGTAAATAGTGATCATTCAGTAAATTTAGGAAGTATCATCAGCATCATCTTTACCATCTCACCAATTCGTTTTTTCTATTGGTCTTCAATAAGAACTCAAACCAAGATGGTACTTTGCTTAAGTGCCATTATTACTGATGTTGTTTTGGTACTAGAGATTGAACTCAGGGGCACTTTACAACTGATCTACATCCCCACCCTTTTTATTTTGAGACAGGGTCTCACTAAGTTGCCCAGGCTGGCCTTAAATTTGCAATCCTCTTGTTTCAGCCTCTCAGCCTCCCAAGTAGCTGGGGTTATTACAGATATGTGCCACCACGCCTGGCAAGTGCCATTATTTTAAATGTATAACTTAATAAAGCTCGTTCCTAGCTCATGACCTATTCATAAATTCTTGCAAAGCAGAATAAACTCATCTTTAGACCATCATCCATTCTTTTCTTCCTGGCTACCCATTCGTTCTTCTAAGTCCCTTGTCACTTCCTTCTGAGGTCAATTCTGATACTTGTTTTCTAATTTCTCCTTTGTCTTTGATACAAAACTAGTACTTTTTATTATAAGCTATCTTATTTTCTGTTTTATGTATATATTTGTTTTCCCCTAATAAGATCTAAGCTGTGTCTGGTGGGCATAACTTGTATATTAAGCATTTTTTTATTGCTTATACAGGTACATAATAGCATTCTATAAGGATCTATCATCAAGTCAGTGAATGAATAAATGAACAAGTTAGGCTTTAGACTAAAGCCTTCTGACTATGAAAATGAATTAATTGTATATAATTACATAGCTTAATTTCCCTAGACCTGCAGATTCCTTGTCTGTGAAACATGATGAATACTCTCATCTTCTCCATTACAAAAATTAAATAAACCAGGGTTGCAGTTGTGGCTTGGTGGTAGAGTGCTTGCCTGGCACGTGTGAGGCACTGGGTTCAATGCTCAGCACCACATAAAAATAAATAAATAAATAAACCGATAAAGAATTTTGATTAGTTTTAAAAGGACTAAAAAGAAGAGACATCTCAGGATAGATAGACAGGACAGAAGGACTGAGAGATAATACAGTTAGTTGAGATAACTTTTCAGAGCTCTATAAAGTTCTATTTGGAAGAATATTAATTTTATTTTTTTTGCCATTGGTCAAACAATATGACTTCTTCTTCTTCTTTTTCTTCTTATTATTTGGTACTGGGGATTGAATCTAGGAGCTCTCAACCACTAAGCCACATCCCCAGTCCTTTTTATATTTTATTTGGAGACAGCGTCTCTCTGAGTTGCTTAGGGCCTTGCTAAGTTGCTGAGGCTGGCTTTGAACTCATGATCCTCCTGCCTTAGTCTCCCTAGCTGCTGGCATTACAGGTATGTGCCTCAGCACCCAACTATCTGACTTAATTTTGACAGCAAATATTAGGCACTGGAACTTTTCAGATAAAGAAGAATCAGGTGAGAAAAGAGCTAAAGATCATCATTATGGGCTTGTTATATTTTGGGGCGGGGGGGGAAAGCAAAATTGTCAGGTTAAACAGTAAAACAGATGAGTACAGTACTTTAAAAGGTGGTCTTTGGTTAAACTTATCAAACAAAGGAAAGAAAGCTTTTAGAAGATAAAAATGATTCATTCATTTAACAAATATCTATTGAACTTTTCTGTGGGTTCAGAACTGCTAAGTTTTAGGGATATAGCAACTAAGTAAAAAAGACATGGTTCTTATCTTTGTGTAGTTTGCAGGAACATGGAGAGAAATATATTAAGCTTACAAAATTACAAACAATTAATTATGAAGAAAATTACAAAGCAATTTCAGAATGAAAAGATAAATCACACAAATAAAATAAGATGATCAAAATTCATATGCTACAACAGAGGCTACAAAATGTTAAGAAACATTAACTGGGGTTACTGAGTGGATATGGGGAAGAAAGGGAAAGAATCACAGATGATTATAAAGGGCTGGGACTGTAGGTCAGTGGTAGAGTGTTTGCTTAGCATGTGAGGCACTGGGTTTGATTCTTAAAAATTAAATTTTAAAAAGATGATTATAAAAAATGAAGCCTGTGAGTTTAGCAAATTTTTGGTATATTTACTAGAGTGAAGAAGTAGGAGAGAGGTTTGGACAATGAGATTTCATGCTTGCATGGCATTTTTACAATTTACCCAGCACTTTCAGTTTTATGATCTTACTGATCTTTACTATGACTCTAGAGATCAAAGAAAGCTGGATAGTAAAGTGATATGTCCAATGGCAGTGTGCTAATTAAGAGGAAGCAATTATTGTTAAAAAGGAAGATCATCATTTCTATTATCTTATAATCACTCACTACTAGGGGAGACAGTCACTCTATTTACTCAAGATTCCTTACAATAAGAGAAAAAAAAAATGATGTTTTAATTAAGACAATAAAAACTGACAGGGCTGGGGCTGTAGCTCAGAGAGCTTGCCTAGCACTTGTGAGGCACTGGGTTGGATCCTTAGCACCACATAAAAATAAATAGATAAAATAAAGGCATTCTGTCCATCTACAACTACAAAAATAAATACATACTTAAAAAAAAAAAAAAAAGAACTGACAGTCTCCACAGAACAAATAAGCACTTCTAAGAACTTTAAGAGTATCAGTCAATGAGTTCAAATGACTCACCTTGACAAAATCCAGGACAGCATCTCTCTGAATCTGCTTAGTCCTTATTTTCTCCTCCTCATACTGCAGGGCAGCAAGCTGTGCTTCTCTCCTAGTGCGCTCTACTAATAGTTCTTTTCTCCGATGAAGTTCCAAGTCTGTATGTGACAGCTGCAACAAAGGTATCATTTTGTACATGCAAATGGAGATGAGAATCAACTTATCAAGATTCCCTATTGATACAGGCAAATAATGTTAATTTAAGTAACTTTGCAGTCACCTAGCATTTTTTTCAATGTGTTTATTCCTAATCTTTTCCATCTTTGCGCTTTCTTACACCTACTATAAAGCTATTACTATAGATAAAGTTTCATTTTCTGTCTGGTGTCTGAAAAACAGCAAATACCATGTGCATGTTGTATTATCTGACCAAGAAGACAGTGTACAAGAGTGCACAATTTAATGGCAATTTAATGGCCACTGCAGGTTTGGCTAGAAGTCCAATGTGCTATCCATTTTGCCACAGTTAGTTACTCTTATGGCAATTTAAGTACTCCATTTTAGTTTTTAAAAATCAAAGTTGAAACACAAAAATAAATAAATCTGCTAATATTTACCTGATTGTGACTTGGTGATAGTGATAAGTGAGAAGATGGCTCAACTGGAACCCTGATCCAAAAAAAAAAAAAAAAAGAAAAGGAAAAATTCTTTGATACAGACACATAAGGGACAAGTGAAATGTTTATCATTACTGTATCTTTCTGTTATATCAGTAAGATGTTTAGGTAGCACTGAAAGAGTAACTGCATTTTGTAAACTTAAGACTAAGTCATTAAATTTAACCACAGAAATAACTAATGTCTCCAACTCATATTTCATGTGATGGTATCACTGATTATTCTACAGCTAGTTAACAACTGTCAGTGTCAGACGATACTGACATACAGCTAGTTGGGATCACTTTTCAAATGGTATCATTTCTTTATGATATATACAACTATTATCGTCTTTCCTCCTATGACCGGAACAAGATACATGTAAATTGAGATCCTTTTACATACAAAGCCATTTTATCAACAGAAATCTGGAATACTACAAAACCTGGGAACTGTACTTGTAAAGCACTTCTATACTTATTTTCAACTGATAAAAAATAATTTTAATAACAAAGATTCTGTTGACTTTTATTCTTAAGAAAGAGATGAAGCTCTATTTGATACTTAAAAACAACAAGTACTGGGGCTGGGGTTGCAGCTCAGTGGTGGAGCGCTTGACTAGCATGCGTGAAGCACTGGGTTCGATCCCCGGCACCACATTAAAAAAATAAAATAAAATAAAGGTATTATGTCCATCTGCAACTAAAAGATACATATAAAATAACAGGTACTATCTGCCTCTTAGTGTTATTAATGCTAATTATTATACTCTGATATTTACCCTTTTTCTGAACCAGATTTAGTGTCTTAAGTCTCTGTAACTCATTTTTGTGCCTGAAACTAAAAATGTTGGAGTAATGACTTTCCGACATTTAGTACCTGAAATCTGAAATAATTATTAGCCTGTCAGGGTGATTTAAATGCACTGAAATAAGTATGCTATCAGAGAAATAAAAACAAATCTTCAAAGCACTAATAGTTCTCATTACTCCTGTGATGGCTGTGAAAAGTTAAAGATGGAACAGGGAAGCCTGGCATATGCAAATGGTAGTAAAGAAGACATCTGAATCTGAGAATGACCCAGTTCTTCCATACCAATCACCAGGTGGTAATGTTGGGCCATTACAGCTTTGTTATTCCTCAGTGTTGCCATGATCTTCATGTTGCATGACTTTTTTTTTTTTTTTAAATCTATAAACACGTTCTCCAATATAAGCATCTCCTACTTTTCAAATAGGATCTTTTTTTTTTTTTTTTGTAAAATATTGCCCTACACATGATAGGTAGTTTAGCCTCAAAGCCTGCCAGTATCACCTGCAGCTCATTTTGGCAACCAATTCCCACAATACATAAACACATTTCCAAGTATCCTCTTGGGAGTGGTGCTGTATACTTTGTTGAGAAACACTGGTCTATCTTAAGTGAACTGCCAGGCATGGTGGCACACACCTGTAATCCCAGTGGCTTGGGAGGCTGAGGCAGGAGGATCTGGAGTTCAAAGCCAGCCTCAGCAATGAGGCTCAACTCAGGGAGACACTGTTTCTAAATAAAATACAAAATAGGGCTGGGGATGTGGCTCAGCAGTTGAGTACCCCTGAGTTCAATCCACAGTATCAAAAAAAAAATATGTGTGTGTGTATCATAACATACATACATATATAAATAGATAGACACATATATATGAACTGAAACTTAAGCTACATTATTACTGTTCTTTTCTCACTTTTAAAAAAATATTGGTTCCAAAACTTTGAGGTATTCACAACATTCCCCCCAACACACACACACTTTTTTTTTTAAATGAAACTTGCTGAGTGGCAGAAGTATTGTAGCATACTGCAGTAGAAGCTGTTCTTAAGCACTGATGGAGCTGGAGCTGGTGATATAAACGACTATAAGCTCATAATTTCCTGCTCATTGGACAGGTGGACATCTTACTTTGCCTAGATGCCTAGACTTGTGCCTGAGATGCTGACTCTCTGATAAAATAACAGAGGCAATGGGAATAATCTACCATCCACACAAACCTACACAAATCTCCAAGGTTTGGCCTAATTCAATGAATTATTTATTAGTTTAAAGTTATTAAACTTCCTTGAGCCTCAACTTTCTCGTTTATAAAAAATGAGGATAATTATGTATCCTCAGTAAGATGCTATGAAAATTAAATAAGATACTGCATGTATACACAACTCATAAAAGTATATTCTAATGACTATATATTTATAAAAACAGGAATTAGCTACCTTTGTCTTTAGATTACTAATTTCACTGCTAAAGTTTCCTGTGGCTTTTATTGACCGTGTGTAGATGAACTGGACCAAAACACAGAAAGAGCCAAACAAACCCATTCTAAGAATGTTTATGTACCATAAATTTAGCACTATGTTATACAATGTTTTTTTTTTTTTTGTGTGTGTGTGTGTGTGAGTGTGTGTGCCTGTGTGTGCATGTGTGTATCAGGGATTGAACTCAGGGGCACCTGACCACTGAGCCACATCCCCAGCCCTATTTTGTATTTTATTTAGAGACAGTCTCACTGAGTTGCTTAGTGCCTCGCTTTTGCTGAAACTGGTTTTGAACTCCAGACCCTCCTGCCTCAGTCTCCCGGGTTGCTGGGATTACAGGTGTGTGCCACTGTCCCTGGTCCAAAATTCTTTAAAAATCCATGTCTTCATTTTATCTCATCAATTTATTTTGTTCCCACTCCAAAATGAATCCTGTTTTTAACTTCACTGAACTGCTCTTTTAGTTCCCAAATTTGCCAATGATAAACATTCCCAAATCTAATATTTATGTCCTAGTCTTTACCTTACTGAACCTATCAGTAGTTTATGTCTTTTTTTTTACGATTTAAATCACTCTCTTCATTTAGCCTCTGAGACAACCCTCTCTTCTATCCTTATGACTACTCCTCAGGTTCTTTTGCTAGTTGTTCAAGCTCTAATTCTCTCCACTTTACTTTAAACATCATCATCCACCCCAAACCTGTCCTGCCTTGTTCAGACTCCTTGGTGTTTCTTAAATATACCAAGTATGTGCTTGCCTCAGGGTCTTGCCTAGAAGTTTCTACCCTTTATGGCCATGGTGCTTGCTTCATGACATTGTCAGATTTCTACTGAAATAGCATCACCTAATAATACATTACTTTTACTTTTCTCTCACCTTGACACTATGATCTCTTTCAGTCCGTTTTATTTTTCTTTATAGCACTTAGCAAGGCCAGACACGTATTTGTAACATACATTTGTCTACATCTACTAAAAGGAAAACTCCAAAATATCAGGGACCTAGATCAGAGCCAGAATCATTGTAGTGCTCAAGAAATACTATTTGAATGAATGGCACTGGCATTGTCTCCCAAAAGAATGGAATATTGGCACATAAGAAACAAAAATGCAGGTAAAACATACATCTTTTAAATCTTGTAACTTGAGCTGAGTAAATCCAAACTTTATAAGGCAGATTTTGAATTGTTCTCTTTGTAAAATCACTTAATGTGAGTAGTTTTTTTTTAACCTTTAATATGCACGAGACAAAAAACTTCCAGGCTTAACCCAAATGTTCTTTACTTTCATATCGCTTCTTACAAAAATTAATAAACTTTACAGGACCCAGCCCATTATTGGCATCTCTCCTACATTAAAATGCTATTCAAATTATAAGCAGTCTTTTTTTAAAAAATGATATTTTGATAATTAAAAAATGATAATTTTTGCTAGCTTCAAATTCAAAGTTACATAATTTATCTTGGCAAATAACTATAAAACACTCACCAATTTACTAAACTTTCTATTTAAACTTTCCTAACCTCAGGAGGTAGGCTGGGGGTATGTAAAGAGGAGAAGAGCTTGGTGGATGAGGGGAAAGGAAGGGAATTGAGAGACAAAACCAAGTAAGCAACTTTCTTTGTCAGTTCACTAGCAGAGAGCCAGGATAAGAGTGGGCAAGTAGCAATTTGTTAACTGACTGAATTCCTTTGCGTCTTTGAAGCTGTCAGACTGCTGAGACAGATTCTTTTTGTTAACATATTATCCAAGTAACATACAAGTCTTGTGAGCCTGAGAGAGTTGTCAGGCATTTTGAGGCGATTGTTTATTTCTAGGTTCTTATTCATTATTCCAATTTAATGTAAGCTCATGGAGGGAATTGTGACTGATGTTCATAAATAAATCTCCACACCCAGAAAAGTACCGGCACATAGTAGATATTTAACAAACATCTCCTATATAAACAAATGAAGTATATATTGATCTTAGAGTTTAACTGGTAACTGGAGTTAAAGTGTGAAATTCTTATTCAAGGACTACATTAGACTTTAGTGATTTGAAATATCCAATTAAGAAGTAATTATGGATTTCATTTCTAGCATTGGGTCTGACTAAACACCTTGAATGACTCTTCCAATGGAAACAACTACAATGCTGAAAGTAATATTTAAAATATATTGCTAAATACATTGCTAAGGTACCATGAAAAAAAGAATACTAGATTCTAAAAGAGAATTAAAATAGAAACTTTGGATTAAATAGTGTTAGGTAGACTCAGCCCCCATGTCTTATTCCAATGAACATGCTGGATTATATGGAAGAGGGGTCTTTACAGAAGAAACTGAGGTTACTAATCAGTTGCCCTTAAAATTGGGAGATTATCTGGGTGGACCTAATGTAATCATGAGTCCTTAAAGCAAAAGAAGCCAAAAGTTTATGAGATGGGCAGAAAGGAAAGTCAGAAAGACTTAAAATGTCAGAAGATTTAGCCCACCATTGCTTCTTGAACATGGAGGGGGCCACAAACCAAGGAATGTGGGTGGACTTTATATTTAGAACAATTCCTGACAGATAACAAGGTAACAAGGTCCTTAGTCTATAACTACATGAATTGCATTCTGTCAACAACATGTACAAGCTTGTAAGTGGATTCTTCTCCAGAGTCTCCAGATAAAAATTTAGGGCATGTACCTGTTCACTGCAACCTGCACCCACAAACTTAAGGGGACCACCCTCTACCCAAGATGTGGCACCACAGGCTGACCCTGCTGGTGTTTGTGGCCATGTTGCTGATTGTCCTGCTGCTAGTGGTATGCAATTTGTATTTAGTATGGTATTAGTTTTTATCTTTATTCAATTTTCTCTGGGAACTGGTAGAGACACAGGATCCCAGGAAGGAGATCATGAACTTTTGGGGTCTGAAACTGAAGAAGATACTTCATCCTCTCCACACAGGACAAAATCCCCTCACCAAAGGAAGCTGCCTACTGATGAAGGCCATTGACCCTAGACATGGTACTTTATTAGTAAATGATGAAAGGCAATTTTTGAGCCTTTGTCTTTAGTGAGTTGGCTTTGAAATTTAATAAATGACTAAATAATACTGTACTTGGATTTCATATGCAGTTCAAAAAAATTAAATGTAAGCCATATAGTAATAAAGGGCTTAGGCCAGTCAACACCTTGACTTTGGTCTTTAAAGATTCTAAGCAGATAAGTTATGCAAGCTAGCCTAGAATTCTATCCTATAGAACTGTGATAAAATAAATGGGTGTTTTAAGCTGCTAAACTTAATAGATACAAGACAAAACTAATACATAAAGTAACTGAGTAAAACAAACAGCTGACTTTTACCTTGAGGGTCTCTACTAAATCCTGGAGATCTTTAGCCTCACCTATGATGGACATAGAAGGTGAGAGGGATGGGAGATAAAACTTAGGTCTGCCCAAGGTGAGGAAATGTTAATAGGAAACCTGTGCATGAAACCGGATTCTCAGAGACCATACCCTTGGTATAAGAACATATGGTAACTAAAAAGCTATTCTGAGATAAATGTCAAAGCATATAAAATTTAACTAAGCCAAGTTATGAAATTTTTTTTCTTTCACTGTTCTTCCTACATTTTCTTTAATTCATATATATCACAGTCCCTGAGATAACATTAATAACCACTCAAGCATAAAGAACTATGTACAACAGTTTCTATGTAGTAAATTTACAGTCATTTAAAAATAGGCATATCAGCCAGGCGTGGTGGCACAAGCCTATAATCGCAGCAACTCAGGAGGCTGAGGCAGGAGGACTGCTAAAGACCAGCCTCAGTAACTCAGTGAGGCAGATGGATTGCTAAATTTGAGACCCTGATCTCATAAGGCAGTTTAGTGAGATCCTGTTTCAAAAAAAAAAAAAAAAAGGTTGGGGATGCTGCTTTAAGACTTCATCATGACACTGGCCAAATCATATTGTTATATTGTGTATTGTGTGCATGTACAAATATGTAACAACAAATCCCATCAGTATGTAAATTATAATGCACCAATAAAAAAAGTAGGGAAAAGAAAAGACTTCATAAAAACAGAAGAGGGAAAGAACCAACTGCTGGAAAAATTTCAGCTACTGTCATATAGTTTATAGCAAGAAAGCTTTTGGAATTCAAGGATGAGAAGCAGCATTCTAAACAGTCAAGCTCATTTTAGAAATAGGTACTAAGTGTAGTAGAAAGATCATACTCATCAAGATAGGAATAAGAATACGTATCATTATATCTGTCCCTGTTATCTAGTCAAAATTAAAAAAAATCTTTAAGCCCTATTTATACATGAATCCATACATTATCAATACAACAATCTTAAAGCTCTTAAGTATCTTCAAATTAATTACTTGTACTGCTATAGTTCAGGTGACCTGATTTCAGAATTAATAAATCAATTTTACCTTTTTTTATAGCAGGAGCACAAAAGAACACTGTCATCATTTTAAATACATGGTCTCTAAAACACACAATACCTAAACGTCTTCATTATACATGCATCTATGGAAAACCAAAATTACTTCACTCTTATCACTGAGTTTTAAGACAGAAAGAAGTAAACAGAATTGCTTTTTCAAACCTGTTTTGATGTAAATATCTTCTCATGTCTTCTGTTTTTTGAAACTCCCTAATGGCACTTGTCTTTACTGGTGAACACTAAATCAAAAAAAGGATAAATAAATCAATTTAACGTGTATCCAAAATACAGTGATTACACATTCACATTCAACTTTTTAGGGATTTGTGCATTATAGTAAAAATAATTTCAACAGAATCTTAAAATGTAAACTTTCTGAAAGCACTATAGAGTACTTGCATATTTTTGATAAAATATTCACAATATACATTATATCTAAAAAAGATTTCCTACTTGCTATATTATATAAATTATAGTGACCAAAACCACTAATATTTACTGAATGATAAGAAGAATCTTAGAGGTCATATAATACAAGCTTCCACCCAGGACACAAATTATCTTTTTCTTTTTTTTTTTTTTGTAAAAAAATGGGATTGAACCCAGGGGTACTTAACCACTGAACCACAACCCCAGCCCTTTTTAAAAACATATTTTATTTAGAGACAAGGTCTCACTGAATTGCTAAGTGCTGCTGAAGCTGGCTTTGAACTCATGATCCTCCTGCCTCAGCTGTGCCCAGCCAGGACAGAAATTTCTATCTATCCCACCCCAACATTAACCAAGTTTCTATTGAACATTTGTAGTAATAGGGAATTCACTGGGTAGATTGTCTCTTTACTTTTTCACTACCATAACTGTCTCTTATCTTAGTTTTACAAATAGTTCTGGGGATGCTGGTGTATATCAAGATAAAATACTGCCAGGCTTGGTGGTGCATGCCTGTAATCCCAGTGGCTTGGGAGGCTGACGCAAGACGATCTCAGGTTCAAAGACAGCCTCAGCAAAAGTGAGGTGCTAAACAACTTATGAAACCCTGTCTTTAAATAAAATACAAAATATGGCTGGAAATGTGGCTCAGTGGCTGAGTGTCCCAGAATAGTTCAATCCCCGATACTAAAATTAATAAGTAAGTAAGTAAATAAATAAATAAATAAAACAAAAAGTAAATTCTCTTTAAGGTAAAATACAATATTAATTAAAAGAGAAATAGTGGCAACTGAACTTATTTATAAACTAAAAGGTAAAGGTCATTTTCAAAAAGTATTACTAAGGAAAATTAAGCTGGATCACACATTGAAAAATAAAATGATAAGCCAAAGGCAGGAAGTTTAAAGATTATCACAGTATATTATATGTTGAATGAGAATCTATAGAAGCAATACAATCTTGTGTCAACACCAAAAATCATCAAAAGGGGTATTCTTCAAGGGAAAACTAAGAAAACAACTTCTCCAAAAAAGATAACTAAAAATCAAATGTCAAACTACTTCAGTATAGTTTAACACAATATAGTATATTCTACCTCCATGAAATTACGTGTGATATATCTACACGTAACTAGAAAATCCTCTTTGGTAATTTACTCCAAAGGGTTAAAAGGTGACTGCATTAATGTTAGGGCATATAGAATGAATTACAATTCTGAAACCCTGATAAGAAAATAATTACTCTGAATTTATGACTGTCACTTTTGGGGGGAATTAACCGGGGATGCTTTACCACTGAGCTACATCCCTAATCTTTTTTATTTTTTTATTATCAGACAGAGTCTTGCTAAATTGCTGAGGGCCTTACTAAGTTCCCAAAGCTAGGACTGAACTTGTGATCCTCTCATCTCAACCTCCTGAGTCACTGGGACTATATAGGCAGGCACCATTGAGCCTGGATGACTACGTCATTTTTTAAGAAACAAACATCTTTCCAAAGATGCTATATCGGTGACTTACCACCCTGGTTTTATGATATTGCAATTATCTAAAATTACTGTGAGAGGTTCTTTGAATTTCCATAACAGAATGAATGTGACATTAATCTAATTTAAAAAGTAAGTATATGTCATACACTGTTCAGGCAGGGTTGATCTATATATGTGAGAGGAATTTTAATAAAATTAGATAACAGCGAAATGTTTTAACATTTCTAATAGCTTGTTTCTTAAATTTAAATTTTTTAAGCAATCTTTAAAAAATTTAGTATACAGGAATACAAAAAGACATATCTTCACTGGTTGTTAAGCCATCTAAAATAATACTGCTTCATCATAATTTTACAGATCATCAAATTTTAGAAAGATTTATGAAACAAGTCATAAAGAACCTTATGATATACAATCATTGAAAACTACCATATATAGTAAGTAGGTGGAATTTAAAACCAATTACAAAGAACCAATAAAATGAATTAATGAAATGGTAGCTTATTTTTTCAGAGTAGTATAATAGTGTTTTCAGTTTTCGTGGAGATACTTTTGTAGCCTAATTAACCATACAGTGATCAAAGAGGATCACAAGAAAAGAAAAAGGTTTTCTTTAAAGAGTATAATGTGAAATTATTAATTTTACTTTTATTGTAAAGTAGTTTTTATTCCAGCAGAGATGTTAATAACCTAAATCACACGCACTTCATTAATCACCTGGTCTAGTGCTATCTCTGGGCTATAAGATTTGATTTATATAACTTTATTCAATTTTAAGTGCAAGAGTATCCTCTGAACAAAAAATATTGTGTTCAAAGGCTTTCAAATAGGAAAACCAAAGGATTCTTTCTAAAGATGATAATATCTCTCTACAACAAGCCCCACTTAAAAGTGATTAAATACATCATTCTCCAGAAAGGCCCCAACTGTTTCCGAAATAACCCCTGCTCAGAGCCTGCGATGAACTCCAGACATCGACATCACATCCACCCAAATAGAGCCATTTTATTACGCTGACTAGATATACTGAAGAATGCTATTCTACTTGAGACCCTTGGGGAATTGGCAAAGATTCTGCAGTGGGCTGAATGCTCATTTGTTTTCTAAGGCAATTCAACACTCCACCATAAGAGACACGCAAGAATTTTAATAGCAAACAATTTATATTCTGTTAACTTAATTTAAAAGCTTCAATAATTTTAAGTTTATAATAAAAATTCTATGGGCAAGTTGTATATTGCCTCAGAAGTTAAATTTGTGGTGTAATTCTTAATTACTGATCAATCAAATTATGATTTTTCAGTTAATAACAATAAAAAAAGCAAAAAACAAAGACTCACTAGAAATCCTAAAAACAATGAAAAGCATCACATTCCTTTGTGTTTTCTTCAAAGGCCTTAGGCTACTCTTAGGAACCCTTTTAGTCCTTCTTCAAAATTACAAAATCTGTCTCCTTATTTGAAAAACAAACCTAAATCCTACTTAAGAATATTGTCTGATTTTCTGAATAAATCTGAAAAATTTAGGACTAAAATCAGAAGTGAACATTATACAATAATTAGGGCTAAACAAATAAATCACTGATATGATAGAAAATTATACTATCTTAATTGTTCTTACTAGGGGAGAGCAATACTACCTCATGAGAGACTCGCCGTTGTTCAATATATGCCATAAACTGTGAACTGAGGCTCTCTGAGTCCAGTCCCTTGGACCGTTTCACCTCGTCCTCTTCTTCCTCTGCAGTACAGCTGTCAATGTAGTCAATTTGATCCAGATCATGTTCCACTGTATATACCACACACACACACCAGAAAAAAATATTCTAAGTAAGACAGCCAATAAAAGACATTTACTTAAATTATATTTTCTTTCTCCCCAACATTTTCTATTCTGAAAGTAGAAGGAATGATAAGGGTAATTTACATAAACCTTAATTATTTAGTCCACGGCTACTCACAAAAACAGACTTCTGAAAATCTTAGTCCTAATTCACTCAAAAAATGCAATAACTGATAGTAACTATTGAAATGCAGACCTTCAATCTTTCTTTCCTTTCTTCTTTTTTTTAAAATAAGACTGTTTGAGTTTGTGGAATAAATACAACAGATTAATTTTTAAAGATGGAAAAGTGCACCTTCTTTTAATGCTTTAGTTTGGGGCTTAATATCTCTCGGGGAACTGTAAGGCAGAAAACCTAACATAATCAACTCAAAAAAAATGTGAAAGGCTATAAAAAAGAGAAAGGGTAGGAAGAAACCGGACTTGGCAAGAAAGAGAGTTACTGGCTGTTTCCCTTCCTGAAACTGTTGTCAGACTTTTAAAAAAAAAAAAGATCAGAACAAAGATTTTCCTATTTAGAAAATTATTCACTAGAGGTCAATGTTGAAGATATTTTGTTTGCGGCAATTTGTGAATGAAAGGAATCATTTAAGGAATTTTTTTCTCAAGATGCTTTAGGGAAAAGAAAGGAATATAAATAAGATATAGCCACCTAATTGTTTCATCTGGTAAGTTTTGGAATGTCCTATTATTTTTAAGTTTAAAACTAATAACTTTTAACAACTAATTAAAAGGGTACACTAAGAAAAATCCTTGCTGTTAAGATGGTTTCTCCAGAAATACATTAAACCTCAACCAACCATTATTTTATGATGTCCCATAGACTACCTAAAAGTTGTAGTTTCTGGGAATAGATAATTTGGAGAAGACTATTTTTTAATTTAGTTTTTTCTGAGTCAATTATTTCTAAATAATTCTGTAACTGCAGTTAGTATTAAAATAAGTTTTTAAGTTGTTAAAGTTTTTTTAAGTTTTTTTTCTTGGTTATAACTGGACACAATACCTTTATTTTATTTATTTATTTTTATGTGGTGCTGAGGATCGAACCCAGTGCCTTAAAATTTGTTAATAACTAAAAAGATAAAAAATTAGAAACCAGGTACAGAAATCCATTTCTTTCAATGTACACAATCTGTCTGATTAAATAGTTTATATTATGACCATTTCCCAAGAAAGCAACATCACTTCTTCATACTAGCTAGACCAGCATGGTCTAAGAGAAAAAGAATGGAAGCCATGAAAGTAAACCATATAGGTAATTTAAAATTTTCTAGTAGCCATGTTAAAAAAGGGGGGTGGGAAGGTGATGCATCAATCTCCAGGATATATAAAGAACTCAAAACCAAAAAAAACAACCCTTCAGCTAAGGAACTGAACAGAGACTTCAAGAAGAAATACAATTGGTTAATAAATATATGAAAGACTGTTCGTATCTCTAGCAATTAGAGAAATGCAAATCAAAACTACTTAGATTTCATCCCACTTCAGTCAGAATGGCAATTATTAAGAATACAAGTAATAATACATGTTGGCAAGGATATGGGGAAAAAGGCATACTCATACATTGCTGGTGGGACTGCAAATTGGTGCAACAACTCTGGAAAGTAGTATGGAGATTCCTCAGAAAACTTGAAATGAAACCACCATTTGACTCAGCTATCAGACTCCTCAGTTTATATCAAAAGGACTTAAAATCAGCATACTAAGTGACACAGCCACATCAATGTTTATAGCAGCTCAATTCACAACCTAGATGCTTTTCAATAGATGAATGGAAAAAGAAACTGTGGCATATATATATATATACACACACACAATGGAATATTACTCAACCTTAAAGAAGAATGAAATTATGGCATTTGTAGGTAAATGGATGGAGCTAGAGAATATCATGCTAAGTGAAATAAGCCAATCCCCCCAAAGCAAAGACCAAACGTTTTCTCTGATATGTGGAAGCTAATTCACAATAAGGTGGGGGGAGTGGCTAGGGAAAAATAGAGGTACTTTGGATTAGGCAGAAGCGAGTGAAGAAAGAGGAGGAGGTATGGGGATAGTAAGGATAGTTCAATGAATCAGACATTAGTACCCTATGTATGTATATGATTACACACTTGGTATGATTCTACATCATGTACAACCAGAAGAAAGAGAAGTTATACTCCATTTATGTACAGCGTGTAAAAATGCATTCTACTGTCATGTTAACTAATTAGAACAAATAAAAAAATAAAGGGACATTAATTTAAATACTTTACTTTTGTCTGGTATATCTAAATGTTATTTTAAATAGTTGACATAAGATACTATTATTTTATATTTTTTTCTCATAGAAAGTCTTCAAAATCTGATGAATATTTTTTATTTATAGTACATCTCTATTCAGTATTTATAGTACATTTCAAATGCTTCATAACCACATATGGCTAAGGGCTGAAAAATGGAAATTAGAAAATTAGAAATTAGAAAATTTTCTAATTAGAAATTAGAAAAACTAGAAATTATTTTAAATTATTTTAAATATCAAATGAACTGAAGGGAACATATATAAGAAAAAAATTTAAAAGAAAATTGAAACTATTTGAAATGTGAATGCAATGTTAAATGACCAGAATAAAGAATATCAAAATGGTGAGGAAAAGAAAAACAGCAAACCTCTTAATTGAAATAATCATTCACAAATGAAAGCTCTTCTGTTACAACATAATGGAAAATCAAAGCCATTTCTTCATTTATATGCGATTCACAAAATTTAAACATCAGTATGTGGTTACTCAAACTAAAGCAATATAAAATGATTACAATATTTCAAGTCTGCTTCAGAAGTATAAGAAAGCAGGAAAAAACCTGCTCACTCTATGAAAACTACAATGTTTTAAATGCCAGAATAAGGAAAAATGGATTCAGAAGTCCTTGAAAATCATTATTCTAGATGAAAGGCAAACATACAGAAAAAGAAAAGTGCTGAATTCTTACAGAGATCAAATAATGCCTTAAAAAAGGAGTTGTTTTGATTTTTTTTTTTTTTTGTGGTATTGGGGATTAAACCCAGGGCCTTGCACATGCTCTACTACTAAGCTACATCCCCAGCTCAAAAAGGAAAATCTTACTCAGGGAGAATGGTACTTTAAAAGAAGATGTGGCCAGGCATGGTGGCACATGCCTGTAATCCCAGTGGCTCTGCAGGCTGAGGCAGAAGGATGGCAAATTCAAAGTCAGCCTCAGCAATTTAGTGAGGCCCTAAGCAACTTATTGAGAATCTATCTAAAAATAAAAAAATAAAAAAGGCTGGAGAGGTAGCTCAGTGGTTAAACAACCCTGGGTTAAACTGATAGTACTCCCTCTCCCCACACCCCCCCAAAAGTGAAGAAGTTACAGATACATGAACCATAGGAATAGATGTGAAAGAGACCACTTTAAAAAGTTAACGTGGGCTAGAGTTGTAGCTCAGCGGTAGAGTGCTTACCTTGCATGTGTGAGGCACTGGGTTTGAATCTCAGCACTTCATATAAATAAGTAAATAAAATAAAGGTCCATCAACAACTGGTGAATATTTTTTATTTATAGTACATATTAAAAAAAAAGTTAAGGTGACTATAAAGATTTCAGATGTCACTGAGATTATGTTTACCTCCACCATTTGTTACTATTAAACTGTTGCGATTCTCTTGGTATTGGCTTTCTCGTCGTAGTCTTTGTTCTTTAGTAATCTCTGCTACTCGGAGAGGCAGATCTGAAAATTCATCTGTAGGCTTAAAAAAGTAGTAGAAACATTAAAAAATTTTTTTTCAAATTTGGATGCATATTTATATGAGCACAATATAAACTAATTAAAATTACATTTAAGAAAAAATAGTGAAAAAGTTTTGGAAATAAGACAATGAAGATTATTGTAGGACAATGTGAATGTACTGAATGCAAAAGAAATGTACACTTTAAAATGGTTAAAACTTAGCTGGGCACAGTGGTGCACGCCTGTAATCCGAACAACTCAGGAGCTGAGGCAGGAGGATTGTGGGTTCAAAGCCAGCCTCAGTAACAGCAAGGTGCTAAGCAACTCAGTGAGACCCTATCTCTAAATAAAATACAAAATAGGGCTGGAGATGTGGCTCAATAGTTGAGTGCCCCTGAGTTCAATCCCAGTACCCCCCACCCCAATGGTTAAAACTTTATGTTACATATATTTTACTATAATTACCAAAAAGAAGAAATAAAGGTATTTATGAGTATATAACTTTATCTACATATACCTCTCTATGGATAAAGCGACATTTATGTACTCAGCTACCCAGATATACATACACAAGCAATCTTAAGTTATAAATAAAAGTAGCCAGGTGTGGTAGCTGTGGCTAGGGACTTAGGAGGCTGAGGCAGGAGGATCCATGAACCTCAGCAACTCAGCGATACCCTAAGAAACTTAGTGAGCCCCTGTCTCAAAAATAAAAAATAAAGACCAGGAGGTGGCACACACCTATAATCCCAGTGGCTTGGGAGGCTGAGACAGGAAAATCACAAGTTCAAAGCCAGTCTCAGCAATGGTTAGGCGCTAAGCAACTCAGTGAGACCCTATTTAGTGTCTCCAAATAAAATAAAATATAGGGCTAGGGATACAGCTCAGTGGTTGAACTCAGAGTGTCTCTGAGTTCAATCCCTGGTAACCCCCCCCGCCAAAATAAATAAATAAATAAATAAATAAACAAACAAATAAACAAACTAACAAACAAATAAATAAAAGGGCTGGAGATATAACTCAATGGTTTAATGCCCCAAGTTCAATCCCTGGTACAAAAAAAAAAAAAAGTTATAAATGAGCTGAGGTCAAAATTTATTTTTAATTTTCTTAGTTATACAGGGACACAATATTTTTATTTTGTTTATTTATTTTTATGTGGTGCTGAGGATCAAACCCAGTGCCTCAGAGGTTCGAGGCAAGCGCTCGGCCACTGAGTCACAACCCCAGTCCAAAATTTGATTTTCTTTGCATTCAGTGAAACATGTTATAAACTATGTTACCAGTCCGGGTAACAAAAGCTCATTTGTTCATTTAATAAATGTACAGCTAAAATATTACACCTTAATAATTTTAAAAAAGCAGGAAACATTATCACTGGTAATTGAACAAAACAGGAAAAAAATGTAATTCTGAGCATGTGGTATTCTTCAGTAAGATTCCATCTCCTTACTACTATTTATTTTCCTACCTTCTAGCACTTCTCTTACCATCTCTGCTCCAGATTTATCCCAGTCCCTCAGATTTTAGGTTTCAGTTTTACTGACTTAACTGCTATTCAGCTTTCCAGAAAAAGAAACTATTGATACAATGAGGAACAAGCATGTGAGAATACACATGATAAAAAGATGGTAAAGAAACAGAATACTATTTTTGAATGGTAGAGCTATGTGAGATATTTGCCTTGACTTATCTGTTATGTAATAAGAAAACTGGATCCAGTTTAGATATTTCCTTTTCATTATTTTATTCTCTCTTAATCAGGAGTTATGACATTCAGAATAAAGAAACACTTACCTCATTCCCTGACCATCTCTTATCACCACTGTCCACACTATTGAAACCTGAATCAAGGGCTCCATAAGGGCGACCTGAATATAGTTCTTCATGGCTACCAAGAAGAAACTTCAGTTATTACTGCAAAGTCCGATACTTTAAATATTAACTTGTGATGCCAGGTATGGTGGTGCATGCCTGTAATCCCATGTTTCCTCTATGCCTCCTCCCATTCCCCATGTCCCCTCATTGTTTTTACTTTTAATAGTACTTTTTATAAAATTAAATTTACATACATTGAAATATATAAATCTTATCTGTGTGAATTTGACAAATGATTACAACCTTGTATATTCCCTCTATCATAACAGAAGACACTTCTATTTTGCCACCAAATTCCACACATCACTGCCCAATTAATTCCCCTTACTTTCTACTCAGTACTCCTCAGGGACAATCACACTCTTTTTTTAATCTTAAAAAAGATTAAAAGTATGGAAGGGTAAAATAATGGTCCCTAAAGATGTTCATGATTTAATCCCTGGAAACTGTATGTTACCTATGTGACAAAAGGAATTAAGGCTGTAGACAGAAATAAACAGCTAATCAGCTGACTTTAAAATGGAGAGATTATTCTGGTTTACTAATATGAACCCAATGTAATCACAAGGATCCTTAAAAGAGGAAGGAGGCAGAAGAGGTCAGTGTGATGCAATGTTGGCTTGAAGACAGAGTAAGAGGACCACGAATCCACGAGTAGAGCCTCTAGAAGTTAGAAAAAGCAAGAAAAAGGATCCTACCCAGAGCCCACAGCAAAAATCACAGCTCTATCAGCATCCTGATTTAGTCTGAGGAGATTGTGTTAGTCTTCTGACCTATAAAAATGTAAGATAAAAAGTATGTGCTGTTTACACCCTTAAGTTTATGATAATTTGTTATAGTGGCAATAGAAAAGCAATATAATTAGTCTTGCTTATTCTAGAACTTAGAAAAATCTATTTCCCGTTGGTAGACATTTTGGTTATTTCCTAGTTTTTGGCTGCTGTAAGAAAAAGTGCTACGAATAAGCTATGAACAATGTTACAAAGTGTGGCGCACACCTGTAATGCCAGCTACTTGATAGGCTGAGGCAGGAGGATTTTATATTTGAGGCCAGACTGAGAAACAAGAAAGAAAGAAAGAAAGA